TCAGAAAAAGAAAAAAGTGAATTTAAATCAATAAACAGACATTTGTTAAAAGGTCAGCTTAATTTTATTTTTTTTCGGCTTTTTTTGCCAATATTTTAGGTAAAAGCATTTTTCTTTGACTTCGGATTAGTGTCACTGTTTTTGGGTGGAAGCACTTGGGGGGCAGCTACAAAGCTAATATTTAATCAAGTTTGCTTATATTGTTTAATATCACCTTATATCATTTTTATAAATCTATCAGTGTCACTGTAAATTAATTCACATGAAAGCTTCTGTTTTATATCTACATATTGGCATCATAAAGGACAAATTTTCAAACAATGTGCATTTATCTGTAAAACTTCAAACAGAGATGCCTAACCACAGAGCTTACAGAGATTTTTTATATCTAATATAGCTATTTCATGTTGGGGAAAATACTGTTAGGGAAAAAATAAAATATTTATGTTGTCTCTCACCAATATTGTCTTAACAAATGAAGATACCACTACTTTATACCTGTCCCTGCTAAAGAAGAGAAATATTAGCTGCAAATATTCCAAGATGTTAGAATTCACTGATCCCATTTTATACTAAAAACTACAACATAGCTTTAGCAGGAAGCATATTTTAATAAGGCAAAAATATTCTAGGTGATTTTTCCCATATGCCTTTAAAAGCGTAATAAATATAACTGTATTTAAGTGTGACTGAAAAATCTACAAACATATTTCAAAATATGAAAGCATGTATTGTATGTAAAACATTGGTAAAAACACATGAGCATTTACAATTTTTCTTTACGTGCATAATTTAGTACAAAGCCTTGAAAAAAGTACAATTAAAAAATAAAATAACTCACATCGACAGTGTCTTAGCATCAAATGTTTATAAACTTTCCACCAAGATTCTACATTTAAAAGGAAATAATATTGTCCTATCCAAAACAAGAGCTCCTACTCAAAAATAATTAATTTAGATACAACACTGCCTTCCAAGTTCTAAGTATTTAACAGAATCTCAGAAACACACTGAACAGATTCCATCAAAGGCTTGGGTTATTCTGAAGTAGCTGGAGATGTCCAGTACTTGATCTTGTTATTTCAGTAGAAATGCTTGTCTTTTTTTTAAGTCTATACAAATGGAGTAAGCAAAGAAGTATGATGATAGAAATTTCTTCACTGTTTTAAAGATCAGGCACCAGATTCGAATTTGATATTTTCAGGTTGATACATTTGTGTTTGTGGCATATTTTTTATACACTTCAAGTGTGATGCCCTGTCAAGGTTAAATGAAATGTCATATCTATATGTACACATTCATATACACACATACATATTTTCAGAACGCCTTAGAATTTGCATTTTTAACAAAGGAGACTGTCATAAACTACTAAGACAGTAATTTGGCTGGAATGGAATCAATCACATTCCTTGAGCTCTTAAATTTTAAAAATAATTACATTACAGTGCATGTTAAAATACTTTTTTAAAAAATGGTGTGCCCAAGGCATTTCTTACCTCCTGCCCCAAATACATGTCGGTTGTGGCGAAAAATGAACAGTAGGTGGCAGTCAAACCACTAAACTGTTTTCAAGGCTTCATTAACGAAAATCTGTTGTTAAGAGTAATAGGAAAGCAGTATATTTTTCCATTTTAAAGAATTCATTTTATAATTAATCTTGAAATACATTTCTAAGGTCCCAAGCTGATGAAATAGTGAGTTGATTGCATCCTTAAGCGAATGAGCCTGGATAAAAGTGATTTAGTACACAAGCCCTTCCTGCTCTGTCTCCGTGACTTTTTCTCCCACTACTCTGTTATTACTGTTTTAATGTGGGTCTTTGCGCAGTTTGGTGGTTGCAGACATGATCAGCACATTCTTGGGCCAGAGTCCAGGACTCTAAGTCTCGCTTATATATCTTTGTGCAGAGATTAAGTAATTTGCAGGAGCGTTTCCTTCCCTGACCTTATAGAGTATATGTGTCTCATCCCCTTCCGTTCCTCAGAAAATAAACATGTTTATAGGGAGAGGATTCCAGACAAGTAGCTGAAACACAAAGAAACATCCTCTATAGTTGAGAATCGTGGACAATTCAAAGTCCAGAAAGTGTGAGTAAAAAGTAGCTTTGCATACAAGACCATGCCATTTCCGTAAGAAGAGTCTTATCTGAATTCACGGAGGTGTCCTCACAGCTGAGAACTGGCTGCCAGGCACATAGGAAATGTTCTATGGATATTTGCTGACTAAATCAATGAAAGGCTCAAATCCAAGCCCTCCTCATTTCACAGATGTATACACCCTTGAAGTTTGGGTTCTGTCTCAGTTCTTCACAATGATAAAGCTATATTCTCACCCATCTTTACCCTTCCCCCACACATTGCTGTTAACGACTGTCGTTGGGAACTGACACAGCACCGCCAAGAAAACACAGCAGGACAAGACTCCACCCTAGTCGGTTTGGAATGTAGATGATGCCTTTCCTGTGAGTTAGGGGCCAATTCTAAAAATCTAAACTCATGAGACAGAAAGAGAAAATTATGTAACATTAATCTAAAAGCTGAAGCAAATTGATTGATTTACTTACCTACCTACTTGTGCCTCAGTTTACACACCTGAAATGTGAGAACTGTAATAATACCCACCTTATAAGCTGTTGTAAGGACTAATTGAGTATGTAAAAATCTTAGACTCTTGTCAGGCACATAGTGACTCCTTAATAAATATCAATTATTTACATTTACATTTCATTATTATATTTGTTACTAATATGATTGCTGTTTACCACTGTGCTGACACGAGCCAGTTTATGAAGCAAATTTTTTCACCTTTACATGTTACTTTCAATGAAAGATCATCAACACAATGAGAGAACTTTGTGCTGCAAAGAAAGGTTTGTACTATAGAACCAGCAGCCCTGCGTGATGGACATGGACGTATGCATGGAAAAGGATATGTTTTAAGTTAGCCAAATACTTGATACTCTTTTCTTTCTCTCTCTCTTTCCTTTTTTTTTGGACCCAGCTTTAGGGACAGCCAGGAAATAATTAACACTCTTAACTATCCCCTCCCTGCACTTCCTCAAGTCTCAGCCCAAGTGAGCTCTGAAAATATTTTCCAAACATTTAAAGTTCACCTCAAACCAAAGACGCAAAAATTCTCACTGATTTTGATTTTCCCACTCAAAGCTCTATCTTGGTGCATTAAAATGACCAGATTAAGGACAACTAGTTTTAAGAAGGAAACATTATAGGTGATTTCCGTTTAGCCTTTGTTGAAACTAAATTTACATCCCAAGAGGACCTATGTTTAGTTCAAACGTCAGAAAGGAGGCAACTCAAGCTGTGTTTACAATCTGGCAGTTTTCTTCCCTCCTCTGCAGATAACAGTGGGCAATCCCTACAGCTCAAGTTTTAAGGAAGCAGTAATGAGCACTGGAAATGTTTAGGAAGTAAAACCCTTTTTTCAACCCATGCAGCCATTCCTCTCCTTCCATGACTAACCCTTTACAGTGAAATGTGAACTAGTCAAGTCTAAAAAATACTAAGTAATTTGATAACTTTTTGAGAGATTGGCTCTCTTTTTCCAGAATCTCCTATTTTCTTAGGTGACTTTTTGAGGAAGGAGGTCAAAATATTGCGTTTGAGCAATTTAAATAAGAGACATTGAGTGATTTAAAAATGAGCTGTTCGGTACAAGACCCATTCATTTAAATTACATGAAAATCCAAGGTAGACTGTATGTAATTAGGAGTTGTGTAAGTCCTCAGGCAATTTCAGTGGGGGTTAGGAGATTGCTTTAATAGAATATGACAAGGTTCTTTTTGTTTTTCATAAAATATTGTATTCCCCTTTGAAATGTAACAAATCTTTAATGAAATCACAACCCCTTTGTTTCTAGGGAATACTTTTATGTTCTGAGAGATCAACAGTGTCAAAACAATTACTGCAAATTAATGATGGACGAACTGCAAAAGATTCAGCGTTTGGTTAGTTTAAGCCTATGCAGCCTCATGCGAACCTATTTGAAGGCGCTACTCAAAATCTTACCTGATAAAAGACTCAGGAGAAAGGGGGTAGGAGAGAGAGTTAAGGGCCCGTGGAATACAGGGTTGGTCTGGGGAGAAAATATGGGGCAAGAGAGGAAATCTGATTTTCACTGGATCTGAGTCATCTCCTGGATTATCCCAAAGAAATAATGGAAGTCATTTCTCTATTTGGTTTTTCTTTAGTTTTCCTTGTTTGAGGTTATTTCGTTATGAAGAAAAATGCATTATTTTCTATAAAGAACTGAAAGACTTTGGGGGAAAGAAAAAAGTCTATTTGTAGTTTATAAGTATAAAGTTAACACCTGTGATTGGATTAGTAGTAATTAATTCTGCTAAGCCAGAAGCACACACTTTTATTTGATCCTCAAATAATGAAATTATAGGTTCTGGCCAAGTCCATAAGCAAAATGATGGTGGTGACGGTGCGTATTATAGCTAATGTCACACATATTTAATGTATTTCATTAATAGCTAAGAGAATTGAGGGAGGAACAAACCAAAACTTTGTTCTATGAATAACTCACACCAAACCAGTCTCATTTCCTTATGATAATATATGGGTACTCAGTGGGAAGTCAATAAGATTTCTTGCAAATTGGGTATCTTGATTTCAGACAAACATGAAATTAAATAGCTTGTACTATCATGGACTAGATAAATAAGTGTAGGCTGGATAATGATGTAAACCAAGAGTGTTCTGTAATTGTTCCAGTCTTACTTAGGTTTTTATTTTTCAGTAATAAAGTTGAAGTCATAAAAGGCATGGCTAGCAAACCCCCAGAGAACAAAAGAAGGTTGGGAAGGAGGGAGGGAGGGAGGGAGGGAGTGTGTGTGTGTGTGTGTGTGTGTGTGTGTGTGTGTGTACTTAAGGCATTCTGTAAAATCAAAACTTGGAAGAATTATTTGTCTGCAACAGTTTGACTTAGTGTGAATTCTAAGTCATGAGTTGGAGTCACATACATTGGTTAATTACCTCTTGTTCTCTGACCACATTCTCTGTGCCCAAGTCAAATCTGGCATCTTGTGAACGGCTCTTCTTGATTGTTCCAGGGGCTGTCTGATGGAGTGTAGTCAGTACAAAGCCATTTCCACTGTCAAGAAACTACTCAAAACAGAGCTTTTCATGATTGTGCCAATAGATATCACCGTGGCACATAAAGCATCACACTTTCAATGTGGCTCACTTTTCTGCAAATAGAAAAACTTAACATTTAGACAAGGACAGTTGAAATGGAAAATATATACATATACCCATACACATATGCATGCGTGTGGTATGTATGAGATATAGAAAATACCCAAAAAAATTGAAACTAAAAAATAATAAATGCCAAATCAATGACTCAGTTTTTATACATTCTAACCATTAAAATATGTGAGCTCTTCTTACGGACATCAACACATAGCATCTAACTTTTTTTCACTCATACCAACTTCAAAGTAAAATTCTAGAAATCATGGGAGGTTATATAATAAAACAATATAAGAATCATCTAAACAGTTTTAGAGTACAGTTTTAAACTTCATAAATCCAGGGCTACTAACTTGTAAGTCAGGAATGCTTAGGAGTTAGATATTATGTTATATCCATAACTAGGATAACAGATGTATAAATGTAGAAACTGGAAATGAGGTGGTTTGTTTTCAATTTCCTGAGATTTACATGAGGGAAGCACAACTGAACATGGAGATCATAATTATAATATGGAGGTTAAAGGTATCCATTAGGAAGAAGGCCCTTTAGGTAAGGGTTGGTTTAGGGCAGGAAACAAAACCTATTCCTCGAAAGAGAAAACCAAAGAAAAAGAATATACCAACTAGAGTTGAGATAAAATTATCTAAAATAAGAAAATATTCTGAAAGCATTTGGGCAAATTTTCAGCATGAATTTTCCATCTTGAAACCTCATGCTACAGATTACAATAACACTTTTTAAAGAGATAGTTTGGATATCATTCTAGAAAAGTGCTTGATTTGTTCTGTTGTTATATGGAAAGTTATGAATTTCTAAATAAAGTGCAAAATATTCTACTTTACACCTGCCCGGAGAAGATCTTTTGGGCAGTGAAGGCGACGACTAGCAGTCCATCAAAAATTAGTAGCTAAAGTCCATTTTTCCACCTCCCTTCAAGTTAGATGTGACCCATCTCTCATCGATGAATTCTCTATTAAATGAACTTAGGTGAGCAATTTTCACTTGCTTAAAAAGGGAATTCCTGACTCTGGGCTTCTAACCCCTTCCTCCAGGTTCCAATAGCAGAAACTGGGTCACAATGTGTGGAGAACCACTTGATGCAGGTGACAGGACAGTCATCATCTGGTCCCCTGGTCAAGGGGGCAGAGCTGCCCTCTCCACCTGAACCCTTCACCTTGGAACTGCTGTGAGTGAGGGAAAGAAACATCTTTGTTTTATAAGCTACCTTATTATTGCATCTCTTGTTATAGCAGCTTAACATCTTACCTAATTAATACATAAGCTTTAGGAGCTATTTTCATTGCCTTCTTGTACACAAAAATATTGGGCTTTAGGGATAAACTTGGATTTAAAGTTTTTAATGAAATGCATGAAAAAACCTAGAAACAATATTTTGCTGTAATAACTTCAAGAATTAACTAGATGATTTATCTTAGATTTTGTTTTATTTTTATTATTTCCATTTCATTAATCACACAACTAAGTGATTAGTTGAGCAGAGTCAACCATTATAAAAGCAGAGTCAACCATTATAAAAGCAGAGTCAACCATTTGAGTTCACAGAGTGTGAATGAGAACCTTCATCTCACAGATGCTATTACAGACACGAAATAACACTTCTGCATTGCCTTCAGTTATTTTTATAACAGGTATCTAGGAATAAGAAGGTTGATGTTTACTGCATAGAAAAGACTTAATATAGCAGACCAGAGACTGCTAAGCTTAGAAAGCTCCATTTACAAAAAGCCCCATATCCTTAACTGACATCTGGGGGTTACAATTTCAGGGGGGTTCCAATCATCCCCTAACTGATGAGCTTGAGTGAGTGCACCTAAGCCGAATGTCCAAACAATGTGGTTCATGCTGACCGACCTGCTTTTCCCATCAGGGATTCTGGACTCTTGGTACATACATGTCAGGCAGATGATGCCTATGTGACCAGCCCCCAGTACGAACCTTGGGGAGTCTGTGCTAGGCTTCCCTGAGAGACATGCTCCACACATGGCTACTGGATTTGGAAGAATTTCATACAACCTGTGTCTCCAAAAGGACAGGATTCTTGGAAGCTGTTCTTGGAAGCTGATTCTTCCTCTGGTTTTGCCAAATGTGCCATTTCCCTGGGCTGATTTTGCGTTGCATCCTTTCGCTGTGATAAACCATGTGCTGAGTCCTGTGAGTGTACAAGAGTGTGCCCAGAGATTTGCCAAACCTGGAGGTGGTATGGGGACCCTGTACCTATTACCAGTTAGGATTTGGAGGGGAAATAGCTAATGGCAAAATAAGCGGACTGGGAATATCCTAACCACTCAGGAAAGCTGGGTGCACAGTACGAAATTCTTATTGATCAGAAAGTAAGTATAAGGTGTAGTTTTCCCAAAAGGAAGAAAATATTCAAAGATGGCACAAATGACTGCAAAATCATACCTCTAGATATTTACATGGTACCTCCAGTTTCACAATTCTCATAGCCCCATGAGGCTGGCGGGCCTCTGTCATCCCCATACCCATTTTCAGAGTAAAGGGCTGAGACGCAGACTTGCCCAAGGTCATAAAAAGCAGGGCTATAGAACGGACATGAGACACAAGTCATCTGAAGCTAATACCTTTCTCTTTGTCCAAAATCAATTTTTGTGGATCTGTTTTTCTGAGAGACAAAAAGTCTGAGGGAATCCTCAGGGGTCACCACTGGAGGGCAGGACAGACGAGGTCGGAGGGCCCTTCTCCCCACCCCCAGCCCACCCCCGCTTCCTTCCCCTCAACTTCATCCAAGTAACTTCATATTTACCAGTTTCACGTATAGGAATTCTGCTTAAATTACTGTAGGCAAATATGTTTTCATTTAAATACCACTGAATTATATCTTCTGTTTCCTTGTAGTCAGTAAAATCTAAAATCAGTATTGAAAACCCAGTTTTTTACTTTTACATTTGTTGGCCTCTTCACTTTGTTAAAGGGAACTATTCCACTTATCAGGAAGTTCACAAATTTTGACCAATGACGCTAAGGTAGATTCTTACTAAATCAGTAAGACTCATGGAGGGTCGCATTGTAACTCCTTTATTCTACTCTTACACAGCCTTTACCTGTTAGTTCTTCCACTATTTCCTTTGTCTTAAATTTCTTTCTGGATTCCTCATTCTTTTCCTCTCTAGCACCCTGGATGCTTCTGTTTCTTTCATACACACTAAACCTAAACCTGAAATAGTCACAAGCTCTGCCCTGATGAAGTTCTACCCTGTACCCTAAAGGGCAAAAGAAGATGGGATATGACAAATTTACTCTCAACTTTCCACACACACTGTCAGTCATTCCATCAAATCCATTGGCTGATGCAGAGAATATAGGCTGAGGAGGCAGGTAGACCTGGAGATTAAATCCTGATTTCACCATTCTCCAATTGTGTGTCCTTGGGTAAGTCAGTTAACCTTTCTATGCCTTAATATATCAGCAAAAGGGCAATAATGACACTCATGTTGGAGAGGTTGCAAGTGTTAAAGAAACAATATCAACCCGATGGGAGTCGCTGTTATATTTATACAGCCCAATCACAAACATAATGTAGTCACATCTCCCTCAGACATGGGGTAGTTTTCCTACGGGCCTACAAGGAAACCACAAGTGTTTGAATTGTGTGTTTTCTCACGACAGAAAGGGAAAATTTCAATTCTTAAGACATGATATGTGAAAAATGCTGAGAGCTCCAAGCTGAGGTTGAGAAATATTTCAGGGAAAATTATCCATTTGAAAGGAAGTGAGAAGTCAGAGAATGGCTCACCCTGGCACAGAGGAGCTGGGTGCCCCCAATCACTGTAGGTGCTGTGCTTGCACAGGCAGCTGGAGCCAGCTGGGAATGCAAGGCACTGAGGTCAGGTAATGGGGGCGGGGGGGGGGGCGAGAAAAGAAGCACCATGAATTTATCATCTTTTCTATTTCAGGTTCCAATAAACAACTACAAAAGCTATAGATGCCAGTTTTAATTTGACACATGAAGAGAAAGCACCCATTTCTGCCCACATGTCACATTTCTTTACACATACTCCTAATGCCAACATTTCTGATTCTGAAATGCATGGGTAGGTAATAGTTTAGCTACTTACATTATAGTAATAAAAAGAGGCTTGAAAGAAACTGAATAAACAAGTATAAAAATGTGAGTTTTATTTGGTCTCTGGTGATGTCTAGGAGAACTGCACCATTTTCCAGGAATGAAATCTTGTTGCTTAACCTTAATTCAGTGACATCCAATATCATCATGCACTTATCCCCTATTAAGAAATATGCCCTTTGCTTCACTGTCCAATATCCTAGATGCTTGCCATCTTGGAAAAATCTATCCTTAATGCAGCACACAGAGTTACCTGCTTCTCATACCAACTTACGATCCACACAGCAGCCCCAAGGAGCAGCTCTAAACTTTGTTGACCAGAAGTTTGGTTGGTTGCAGAATGTGGCTGTGGTGATGGTCTGGAGATCTTACCTATGAATGCGACTTTCTGGCACCACCTCATAGTGCAGTGCAGTGCCCCGATTGCTTCCATATGCGTCCTTCCCTGCAGCAAGTGTCTGTCCTACCAGCTCTCAATCTTTATTACCTGTAATAATATATCTTGAAGTTTACCTAAAATACAGATTTCTGAATGCTTACCTAAAATATTCTGGTTTGATGAATGAAGAGTGGGCTCAGGAATCTGGATTTTGAACAAGACTAGTGGATTCTGAGGCTTGGATTGAGGTTCTGTTCCTTGAATTGTAATTTTTAAAGTGCATTACCTCTCCTTTTCTCCCCGATAACATCTTGATACACAGTTCTTAATTCTACGATGAGAAGTTAATGAGTTACAGTCCCACTGGAATAAAATAAAATAAGCAAAAGCCCTTAATGCTATAATGCTTGAAGGAGTCTTTCTCTTCTAGCCTTCATGGATATTGCTGGAGGCTTTAGTTGGGGGTTCATATGAAGGACATTGCCAGACAATGAACTCTGCAATGAGACTGTTCACAAGTATAAACACTGGGTGCATTCAGAAATATTCTGGAAGAGTTGAGAGCAGGTTATGTTGAAGGTGATCAGATATATCACATTCTGATGATAAATTTTATCTGAGCCTTACACACTTGGAAAGGATAGAAATGGCAACAAGTCAGGCTCTTTCTTATCTCCTAGCTTCCTAAACTTGAAGTATCCTTAGGCTGTGAGTAAGTTTGATCTAGTAATTTCAACTCCAGGAGTATTTATTCCCTACTATCCTCACTCTGTGGTCCAAACCTCTTAGCATGACCCTTCACAGCTCAATCATGTTTTACTTCTCTGGTCATAACTGCTCCACCTTCCTGCTCTAGACACAATTTGCTTACAAATTTGAGTCTTTAAGCATGCTATTGGTATTGCTATTAAAGCAGTACTTAGAGGGGAATTTATAGCACTAAATAGTTGTATTAGAAAAGAAGAAATGTCTCAAATCAATGACTTCAACTTCTATGTCAGAAACCAGGAAAAAAAGCAAATGAAACCCAAAGTAAGCATAAGAAAGGAAATAATGAAGATAACAGCAGAGGTCAAGGAAATAAAAAACAAAAAAATAGAAAAAAATGAATGAAACCAAAAACTTGTTCTGTAGATCAATAAAATCAATAAATTTCAAACCATACTTTTAAGAAACAGAGAGAAGACACAAAATACTAATATCAGAGAGAGGTAACATTCCTACAGAATCTACAGATATTAAAAAATAATGAGGAAATATCATAATTTTATGACAATGAACTTTACAATTTAGATAAAAGGATAAACCCTTTACATTGTAGCTGCAACCACCATCTGCAAAGCCCTTCCAGAGCTTCCATCCTGCAGTGTCTTTCTTTCAGTTGCAATAATCTGACACTGTTTAAACTGAGGTGTTTGTACATATGCAGAAAGTTAATAAAGAGTAGTTATTAACTGTTCTGGCGAGTTAATAACTTCTAAATTGGAGGGACATTATATGATAATCTGAACAAATTAATCATCTAAAAGGCAGCAACACCTTAGTCTATTTCCAATTTGCAAAAACCTGAGAGGTGAAAACACGGCATGTAGATAACCCAAGCAGTTAGCATGACACGGCCATGCAGTGCCTGGTCTCTGCCAGTCCTGCAGTGCTGCCACTTCTTCACTCAACCACCTCGTCAATGTTTCTTGGGTTCTGATTTCACAGGTGAGGCTCTAAGGCTGCAACGACGATGGCCACAGCCCCACAGGCAGACTGTTCCAGCAGGGTGCTGAGTATTGCGTGGGACAGACAGCCCAGAGAGGACAGGTGACTCTCTGTCCCTGGGGGTCAGTGAAGGCACCTGACAGACCCAAAGTGTGTCCAGCAGTCAGCTAGGTGAGGAGAGTCAAATTTCTCAGAGTGGGAACTGGTCGTGCAAAAGTCTGTAGGCTACAGAGAGAACACACAGTGTCCTCAGAGATGACACAACATCTGGAATGTAGACGGCAATAAATGATAGTGTAGGAAGGCAAGGGTGCAACTACTATATGCCACATTAGTCTGAGAGTTGGGGGAAGATCAAATAACTGAATTCAAAATAATAATTTCTAGCATTTCTCAATGCTTACTCGATGCCAGGGATTACAATAAGCATTTTATAATATTGTCTGTCTCTCTTTTTTTTCCCTTCAAATTATGTTTATTGAGAGACAGTGGGTTTGCATCTTTGTATCTGTCTCAGGGGTTGTAAGTTCAAACCTCCACAAATGTATACTCTCACACCCTGCCCACCACCAGCGCCCCAACAATCCGCTGCCATGGCCCATTGGCCCCTTTGCTGCCTCATTCACACCCCACCACCTCCCACTCTGGCTGCCTCAGTTTTGCAGTCTGATGTTAAGAGTTTATTGTTTTGGTTTTGAGTGACCCTTTGCTCTGTTTCTGTGTATTCCACATGTAAGTAAGGCCTTGTGGTAATTGTTTTATGTTGTCTCATTAATCCTCACCAAATCCTAAATGGTTAAGTAAGTTTTCTTTCCATGTGCTGTATATTAATTACAAAACTAATATATATTCGTTGTTACTCATTAAACAATCCCTCAAATGCTAGCCCCTAGCGAAAGTGGCCACTTGGTTTGTATTCTTCCTTACACTTTTCAGTGTTCTCACGGCAAATATGAATTTATAACATAAGCATAGTCATATAAAGATGGGTTTATACTTTACAGATTTTTTTGGCCCATTTTACATTCTCGAACAATGAGAATAAAGGAACTGGTGAATGTTAAAACATCTCTCTATACTCACAACCCTTCATTTACTGCTGAGGAACTCCTGCCTCACTGCTGGGGTTGAGCAGGTGCTGGGTTGTCAGGCTGCCAGATTCTAGGTGGAGATCTCATCAAATTATGAATGAACGCCTGTCATCATGGTCACATGACATGCCCCTCTGGCTGAGCCACTCTGCAATTGAGTCAGAATTTATTGCTGTAACTACAGTTTCAATTCTTAGACATATAAGAAAACATATCCTTAAAACTATTTGCTACGTAATATATTTTTGAAAGCCTTAGTTGCATTATTCCTAACTAGATTTGAAGAATGTGGCAGAAACAGCACTTTAAAAAAGACGAAGACAGAAAGGGAAAAGTCTTAAGTTCAAATCTAAAGCATAAACCTCATTTTAAAACTGTGCAACTTCTTTTCCTTATTTGACATAACTCTACAGGCTTTTGACTAGTGAAAGAGGAGTAACTTAAAGGCTCTACATTTAAAATATTTAGCAGCATTGCTATGAGCAGGACTTAAAATGCCTACCATGGGGGGAGAATGGACAGCAGGGTGTAGAAGGGACATAATTAACTCTGGTGGAGAGCTGTGGGTGTGGGTGCCTTGGTTGTGGGTGTGGTGTAATATCTTACACCCAAAGAGCTGTTATAAGCCCATGTTACCTCGAAAGAAAGAAGTTAGAAAATAAATAATTTCCTTTGTCCTGTGAAACTCCTAGGCAGCATCAGAAGCATCTGCAAAAACTACCCTTTGCGTGGAGCCTTTGTCATCCTGTTCGTCCCCCACCGTCCTATCAAAGCCCTTGGCCCTCAGGTATGGGGACTTCCTTCCTTTCCAGTCCCAGACACTGGAGTAAGCACACAAGCTTTTCTTACCCATCAGATGTCTTTCTGCTAAACCTTGCAGGGGAAGTCGTGACCCCGCAAAGGTCACAGGTGGAAGCATTTCTATAATCCATTATAATATAAAGGGATACAGTTTCCAGAGTCAATCTGGCAGATTTGGTGGAGTCATTCAACTCCACCATCTTCAGAACCATTGGTAGTGCCTGTGCCATCTCTATGCCCAAAGTGGAAGCAGAGGGGCTCTGCTGGACCACTTCTACAATGTGATTTTCATCGTCATTCTGGGTCACAGACAGAGCCTCAAGCAGCTCACAAGGCTTCCTGGAGAGTCAGTGTGCTACTAGGATATCTTTTAATGAATTCCTTCTGTGCTTAAATTGGCCATGACTGAATTCTGTTGTCTACAACTAAGAAGTCATTGGATAGTCTCTCACAATTAAGTCTTTAAAAGCTGAGTCTTGAATTAACACTGAATTACTGCTATACATTCTCCATGTACTCAGATGCCCAATTCTACTCCTGTGTGCTCTCCTCCTTTCGCATGTCTTTCCATAGCTCACCAAAACCTACTCTCAGGAAATATGCCCATGTGGGCTAGTGTGGCTATGCTTAAGTGACTCATGAGATTATCTATCCAACTGATGGTGGGAGTTAGTAGATGGTCCTTAAACAAAGGGAAAAAATTCTCTGTGAAATTCCAAACCTTAGCAAACAGGTAGGAAAGGTGAGGGAGCCAGGAGGAGCTGGGACGCTTAGACTACCACTTCCTCCAATTTAGCATAAGGTTATTCCTAGAATAATACTCATTCATGAATCATCTACATTCCGGTTGGACCGATCCATCCTTATTCTGCTGGAAAAACAAATAAGTCATCATGGTAGGGCTGTGCTTGCAAACCTTGGCTGACTCTGCATCCCACCAGGACAAAGGCCAACCCCCAACCTTGGGGGGTCAGCAGTCATCATGGCCACTATGTAGCAGTGGCCTGTGCCCTAACCTTCTGTGCCCTGGCACACCCTCTTTCCCACCTATACTCAGTTCAGTCAGGACCTCCTCTTTATCAGTCTCCTTTGCCCAGGTCCCTGACTCTGGCGCCTATTCTCAGTACTGTCTGATTATGCTGTCATTATGTCTTCAAGTCTGGACTCTCTCACCACTGCTATGTTCTAGACATAGCAGGGGCTATGTCTCATTTAAGATGGAAGTTTTGGGAGGACCAGCAAATACCCTACAATAGATAGTTGTTGAATGCAACAGGTACACATGCATAAGAGTTCCTCTAGAGTGACAGGGGCACAGCCAGTGATCCTGGTCCCACAGACTCACGCTTTGTTTTCAAACTCCCACAAATTGTACTTTTGGATGATAATCCACTTGCCAGAGCCATGTCTTAAGAGACATGCCTCCATTCAGCTCCATTCTCTGGAGGACAACACCATTTCTTGGCCCCATGAGCTTAGCCACCATAACACACAGTGCAGGGTGCGAGAGTACAGGTTCCCAGTCAGTTGTTGGGGTTCACACCCAATTCTGTGGATGAGGAACCAGCTGTGCCATTTTGGATGAGTTACGGGTCTTTTCTGTGCCTCGATGTCCTCACCTGTAAAATGGGTGTGGCAGTGGGACCTAGTTCATAGAACTGTTGTGAGGATTCAATTATTAAGTAAAATGTCTGGCGCATAATACTTCAATAAATGCTAGCCATTATGACCAAGATTAAATCTGAAATCATTTAATGTCCTTGAACATTATTCAAATTTATATATATATGCAAATTCCACTAATGTATGCTCAATGATGCCAACATTAATCATATCAGAATTTGCCCCATAAGCATATTTTGAGCACAGGGTAACATGCCAGTATGCATAGGCCTTCAACAGCCATTGTTTCACAGACTAGCAGTGAAAATGTTTTCCAGTGAACTTTGCCCTGGCAGTTAACAAATGATAAGAAAGTTCATTCCGTGGGAGTTTAAAGGCAGCTAAATTGCCCCAAGTTTAGACTATCTGAAAGTGTTATGGCAAAGCTCACCCTGGCAGCCGGGGCACCAAATCTGTGACCCTGGCTAGTTAATATGAAGGGGAGGGAGCAGAAGAGAGGGGAGCCCCACATGAATAGAGAATGTGGAATGAGAAAGAAAGTGGTCCTCTGAGATGCTCAAGATTTCTCTTAGGAAAAACATATGTGCTTGTGAAGCGAGGTTTAAGAAGTTCCTGTCTATTTTTTGCCATTCTGTCTTTCCACTTATATAATTTCTGCTGCATTGTTCAATCATTATTTAAGATTATTACCAGAGCTTACCAACAAAAAGAACTCAAAAACATCTCAGAGGAACTCATTTTTCTATCCTAACAAAAATATATACTGTTTATTTCCAAAGTCCCAAATATAAAGAAAAGTACTTTTTCATTTACCATGGCATTAGCTGGTCACCAGCTCAGGACAAAAGCAAGTTTCCACCAGCTTTCAGTGGTTTGACAGCCCCTACTTGCCAAAAACTCTACATTAATTCACAAATTGACCTGTTCCAGTTGCCCAAGAGACATAAGAAGCTCTATTTAAAATAAAGCCCATTAATTTTTGCATTACTTTTATCTGGATCTAGTTTCAATCAATCAACATACTGTCAAAAATAATAATGCAGTTCTAACTTCACTATTAGAATAAAATGCAGCAGTCTTTTTACTCCAAACTTCATGTTAAATTTAGCATGTAACTATTTTGGCTTCAGGATTATTTTAGGTAGTTCCAAGAGGGACATGCACACAGAAGCTAGTAATAGTCCAGATTCCGTAGTTGTTATAGACTGAATTGCTGCACCCCAAATTCATATGTGAAGACCTAAGTCCCAGTACCTCAGAAGGTGACTGTATGTGAAGACAGGGCCTCTAAAGAGGTAATTAAGTTAAAATGAGGCTATTGAGATGATTGGCGTCCTTTTTAGAGAGAAAACTAGGACACAGAGAGACCCCTTTGTGTCTCTTTGACAAAGAGACAGGTGTGTGCGTACATAGAGGAACAACCTTCTGAAAAGGCAGCATTAAGGTGGCCGCCATACAAGAGCCAAGGAGAGAGGCCTCAGAGAAAACCTATCCTACCAACAACTTGGCATTGGACTTCCAGCTTCCAGAACTGTAAGAAAATAGATTTCTCTTTAGTATCACACCCACTCTGTGTTATTGTGTTATGGCTGCTCTCCCAGATGAATACTAAGAATGCAGATGTAATAATTCTCTATGAAGTAAACCAAATTCTTAAATTTGGGGCTGCAGTCAATGAGATAATCATAAGGAAAACTGTAGGGTGTCCTTGCCCCTTTCACCCAGACCCCTTGGTCCACAGGGGACCACTGCTGTGAGCCCATTCTGCTTTATCTTCCCAGATGGGGACTCTACATTTCTTAATAGTTTTCCTCAAATATTAAATATTAGTCTCAAATATTAGTGCACTAGACTCACTGCAGGGTTTGTGGGACAGATTGCTGGGCCCTACTCCCAGAGCAGATCTGAGATGGGACCCAAGAATTAACATTTCTAAATACAGACTTTGAGAAACACTGTACAATGTACCACATTAGTTACCAGTCATCTCCCAACCCCAGTTGCAACTGCGATCAAAAGCAGTGCCATATATCTGGACCTGGCAGGTTAGGCTTACAAATTAATTTATGCTAATGTAAAGAAATATATTACCCCTCCCAGGGTATTTGATTTTATAGAATCATTTAGAAAGAGTATTAATGATGGTAAGAAATATCTTGCTGTAAGTCAGAAAAGCAGGATGTATTATTTAGGGCAGGCTAATAGCTTTTACAAGTAACCCCCACATCTCAGAGGCTTTACACAGTTACAGTTCCCATCTGACTCACCGTCCAGTGTGGGTGTGCAGAGGAATGCATACTCTGCACCATACAGCAAGTGTTTAGGGACCCACATCCCTTCTGTCCAGTGATTCTCCCTCTGCTATAGCCTTGGAGCCCTTCACTGGATCCTCTACTTGACAACAGATAAGACAAGAGAGGAGGCTGTGTGGGAAATTCTTAAAAGCCAAGCTGTGCTTTTCACTTACATCCCACATCCCCATCCTTTTCACCCACCATCCTATTACAGGGCAGCGAGAGGGGCAACCCAGACCCCGCAAACCTGCCTGCTCTAAATAGGTTCTGCCATCCGCCCCATCAACACAAAACCTATGAGACTTTAACTGGAAGGAACTCTAATATAATTAGGAAACAATACAGAAAAGACAAAGAATATAGCTCCTAAATCCAACACCCAAAGTTACCGTCCCCTCGTGGGTAAAAGTCCACCCAAGCAGGATTGGCCCAGCAGCAAATCCTTTCAGAATCAGACAAAAGCTTTTTAATTTTTCTGACCCAGACTTGGCAAAAAATTCAAGTTTTCTCCAAGAATCCATCAAGGCAACCAGCAATTACCAGTTACTGCTTAAGGCTACTCTTTCCTTAACACCCAGGCATACATTTGCTAATTTAAATACAACTGCTCCACAGTTGGCTTGCAAAACCTCTCAGGCTGAGGTCAGGAAGTAGTGGAAGAAAAAGCAACATATCACTGAAGAATCATTATTGCCTTTAGAAATGCTAATGAGACAGCAGAGACACAAAAAAAAAAAAAAAAGGTCCAAAGTCCTAGCAACAGGAACCTCTGAATTTTACAAGAAACTGCCAAGTGACCTGAGATGCCATCTTTGATCTGGCCACATGGTCCAATGTACTACCTAATCTTTTGAGTAAAACTGTTGCATAGAACAATTTCCACAAAAACAAATCTCTTAGTAAGTCACTACAAACAATCTACACACAGACACACAGAATCTTCACAAAGCCCAAGCCAGTTTTTCAACAGCAAATCTGCATATGAAACAAACACACTAGAGAAACCAAAAATCACATTTGCGCTTATGGTAGCCAGTGCCATAGGGAAGCCCAATTTCCCCATGGCGCTAACCATGGATGGCTCTGTCCTAAATCACGTTGGGCACCAAATCTGTTACAGGGCAGAGAGAGGGGCACCCCAAACCTGCCTGCTCTAAATAGGTTCTGCCATCCGCCCCATCAACACAAAACATACGAGACTTTAATGGGAAGGAACTTTAATACAATTAGGAAAAAATACAGAAAAGGCAAAGAATATAGTTTCTAAATCAAGCACCCAAAGTTACCCGTCCCCTCGTGGGTAAAAGTCCACCCAAGCAGAATTGGTCCAGAGCAAGACCCCAAAGCCTGCCCCAAGTCTAAAGCATCTTCCAGTGGGGACCCACAGAAAAGATTAAGAAACAACCAGACAAGCCTGGACGGAAAAGAGCAAAATCAAAATTAACACAAAAACTGCCGTTGTCACCTCCCCACGGGTCTCTCACCCACATCTGTGTCACCCAGTCCACGACCAAAAGGCAAGAGCAGTTTCTTCACGTGTCTCTCGGCCCCATGTGCCTCCTCCAGGTCTCCTTCTGTCTCCCCATCCTGCTTCCTTCCTTCCTCAGTCTCCTCTGCATCTTCTCTCCCTGCTCAGCTCCACCCTCTCTTGGGTGGGGCAGGAAACCTGGAACCTCCCCCTTTCCTGGAGACCACCCTGTTACAATCCATTGGCCAGAACCCAATCACATAGTCATCTGATGTGAAGGAGGGTGGGAAATATATTCAAGCTGAGAGGAAAGGGGGAATGTTTGGTGAACAACTAGCCAATCTCTGCCACAGGAAACTTCCACAGGTCCCAAAATCATGATACGTGGCAATTTCAAAGGACCGTGCAGACTCAGGTATGTGGCATTCTTGGAGGAAAGCTGGGCCTCCATGCCAATTGCCCTCACACCCTGTGCTGGCTGTGAAACAGGAGTCTGGGTATCCGAGCAGTCTCCACTACACAAAATAGCAGTCTTTGTCTAGCTGATCAAAATGGTCAGTGTTCCTGCTCCAAAGCAGTTAATCTGGAAGCAGGCATTGGCTGGGGAAGAAGACAAAGAAGAGGAGAGGAGACTATTTGGCACAGAGGTACATGTCACACTTAAATTGTATCACTTAACTTGACAGCCCTGCAGGGCATGTGCCATTGTTCTGGTTTTATAGCTAAAGAAAGAAAGGCTAGTGGGGTAGGCGAACTGACCTTGAAAGATTAGGAGGGGTCAGGATTTTTATCCAGGACTATCTGAACTTTAATGTCCAGTCCTCTTTGTCTTTTTACCATACTATATCAACTTTGGCAGTATGAGTTGTTTAAATTTTAATTGATTAACATAATTGATTAACATAATCCATTAACTTAAATCAGTTATATTTATCACAGATTAGTATTTGTACCCAGAAACCTGTCAATAGGCCCCTTATCTCCTAGGGCACCAGCTTTGGAAAAGGAATGCTCTACTTTCTCCTGCTGGGTCCTTCACACTTAATGGGAATCATTGCACCGCCTTGTGGGAGTACATGAAATCATGCACATCAGAGCACGTGGGCCCCCTCCCTTCTAAAGTGCTAATTCCTTCATGACACTCTCATGTAACGTTGCAGGAGGTGGCTGCTAAGAATCAGTAAGGACAAGGACAGTGGATGGGAGAGGAGAGGTGTTAACGCCCCCGGGTCTGTTCTGAGCTGAATGCCAAGGACTTCATGCCCATGCAGACACTCCCTAAATGTGGGTGTGCAGGGAAGTGGTGTGATAAAGAGGAAACTAAGTGTAATACATACAGAGTTTGATGGCATGCCAAGTACTTCATTCCCACATGGGCACTTCATAAACATGGGTTGGAAGGGAAGTGATGTGATAAAAATGAAACCAAGGGTAATATTGACAAAGTTTGATTGCACCCTTATCTGGAAGGGCAAAGTGCACTTCAGGTTCTGTCCTGGCTTATCCAGTCCTGCTTAGAAGGCCCTACCAGTCAGGATCATGCTGAGGGCGAGGCCAGGCAGGGAGTAATGGGTTCTTGGTCCTTCTGCTTCCCTGCAGTGGACTCCCATGAGCCATGCTGGAACAGACAGGCCAGTCAGGGCCATCTGTCCTATCCATCCCCTCACCCAGCCTTCCCTTTGTCATTGCTCAGGAACTTTCCTCTACAAACTTCCCTCCATGCATGCCCTCCTGTCAAGGCCCACACGGTAACCAGGAGCAACTCCTTTCCCTCCAGGCTGCCAGGGTTTCTCTGAATATGCACCTTCTCATGATACTCAATTGTTCTTCACATCAGAGATGCATAAATACATGCCCACAGACGCTGCATGATAGAGTGAAGAAAGGAAGATCTGGCTTGGTGTCACCAAGCCCCAACACTTCCCAAAGGTGTGATTCTAAGCCAGTCCCTAAGCCTCAATGTCCTCATCTATAGAATGGGAGTAAGAAGAAAGACCTTCCAAGGAGTGAGCCCTTAGCCCAGAGCCTGGCACACAGCAAATGCTCACTAAATGTAGTCCCCTTGGCCCTTCCTCTCCACCACTTGCAGAATTCTTGAAGGCAGAAAAGTTCCTAATTCACCTGTATATCCCCAGTGTACCATGCTGAGTGGGTACCCTCCCCTAAAACACCCAAACATTTGTAGAATAAAGGCATGAATGTACTCAGAGCACAGTCATTTTCCAAACATGAATGAACAGATTAATTGCTTTGTGTTTTCTTGAATGTCTCTCTTATCTCTTGTCTTTCTTCTCAAAAGATGATTAAGAGGACATGGTCTCTCAAGTTCTTAGGAGAGAAAAATTAAACCAGTCAGAATTGCTCACTAATTTTCCAAGGCTCATCCATGCTTGGGCTGGCCTCCAGGGAGACATTAAAGCGGCCTCGAGGGAGCCGGCGGCAGCTGCTGCTCCAGCCTGCCACTCCTGTGTCTGTGTTCTGTGAGGCAGAGGCCGGCGATGGGCTGCTGGGGAGAGGGGCCCGGCCTTCAGCTCTGAACGTGACCATAGGAATGCTGGTGGCAGCGGCCACAAGGAACAGCCGGGTGCGATCATCTAACCCAATATAGCCAGACACTTTGGATTTTTGAGGATAATCCCAATACTGACACTTGGGGCCCCCGCTCTGCCTAAGGAGATTCGTGCTTGATGTTAGTGGACCATGACTTTTGGCTCAATGTGAGGTTCCCACAACCTGCTTCCCACAGAGTGCCGTAGGACCGAACATAGCTTCATTCTGTCTTGAGGTCTTGGTAAGATTCAGACCAGGGAAGGGTTGGCATTCTCCGCGGTGCTCGGGAGGCCCTGCACAGTCCCTCAGCACTCGCCCCAAAGCAGCTGCAAGGTTTGAATAGCACTGTTTGGAAACTCTGAGAAAGTCAGAGTAAATGAGGACGGGCATGGAACACACTTGGTGGGAAACCAGGGCTAGAAACACCTAGTGTTCCTGTAATAATCATAGGACTATTAAGCAAAATGTACTGAGTCCCCACTAAATACCAGGCAAGGTATTATATACAGGCTTTTTCTGTTCTATCTCCCTGGAGCTTACCAACCACCTTGGGAAGCAGATTCACTCATTTCAGAATCAAGGAAATTGAGGCAAAGAGGAACAGTCACTTGTCCAAGGTCTCCAGACTGATAATTGTCAGTTTAAACATTACTTTTTACTGCCCTTTGTATTCTTTTACTCCACACAGCCTTTTTACTGTAGGCAGGGCTTCTCAATTCTCAAAATATATCAGAATTACCTGGAAGCCTTGTTAAAACACAGATTCCTGGGCCCATCACCAAAGATTCTGATTCCATGGCCCAGAGTGGTGCTCACAGATTTGCATTTCTTATCAGTTCCCAGGTGAGGCTAGGAACCATGCTTTGAGAAGCAAGATCTTGGGCAAAATGTATACCCGTCCTATCTTAGCCACCACAGTCTGAGGCAGAAAATCAAATCAAGAAAGTTTAGAATTGCCAGGAAAGCCAAAGGCGTTTGTCAATGTTCAGCCTGATGGAGTCAGAACTACCTATGCTGTCACAGAATTCTCCAAATTGCCCCAAATTCCCCTCTCACTCTAGCTTCCAACCTTCAATCTAAAGCTACTGGTGACCCCTGGCTTATCTTGGTGACCAAAGCCTGGAGACTAACCTGGGAAAGGACCTACTAATCACGCACACTGAGCCATCTCTCCAGTGACATCCATCCAACTCTGGGGCCTCACCCTGGCTCCCCACCTCTGGGATGGACCCTCAACTTTACCTCCAAATGCTGGACCAGCTTCTCTTCAAGGACTCAGTCCTTCAGCCAGCCTGTTGCTAGAGGATCCAGCTCCTGGTTCCAACTCCATGGGTTCCAGAATCTTCCCTGATAGGTCCTCAGATTTCTGGGAACAGGGCAGAAGGAAGCCTGTCAATAGCATAATCCAAGCTAGAATGTGGGCTCTGTCTCCTCTCTGCTCTTTCCATGACTTCCCATGATCCTAAGGATGGTGACACCATGGTATGCTTTAGTAGAACCTGAGATACTGCAACAGGACTAGGACTGCCAAAGCAAGGCTGATTTTCCTTCCCCAAGGAAGTTCATCATGGAAACAGTGACATTTTAAGCAATCTTCCTGCAATTATGACCCCTGCTTTAATTAACTAACTAATGGGCAAAATGGCTTTATAAGTGAACTAGAGCTGGCCCCTGAAATTTCAGCTTGACCCTGCCCCACAATCCATACCTCTGGGGTAATTTATTAGGCAAACCACCCAATTAGAAGGTTCTTTTGGAACTTACAAAGTGGATCTTTAGGTAACTACATTCACCTAATCCTTAACTCAACTCTTTTCTCCACAGAGGACAATGAGATTCTTTCTACCTTGTTGAGGAAGGTTGCTTGATAGATGACTGCAGTGGAGCTCTTTACTACTTTGATCTGATGAAGTTTAACCAGAAGAAAGAGACTCTATGTGACATCTGAGAACAAAACTGGAAGAGGGAGTTCCAGCAGAGGATGGAGAGGTGGAAGAGGGTTAGTATGAATCCCAGGAAAAGGCCAGTGGAGGGCAGTGCCCATATCCCTGACATACCCAGGAGCTCCTGGCACCGGCTGGGTCCACCTCTCTCTAGTTTACAGCCAGGTGTACACCTACTCACAACTAGCAGAATCATAAAACCAAGACAGAAGGTGAGGTCTATATATTGAATCAGAATTTACAAGTCTCCCTTAGGGCCTATGTAGTAACTCCTATGGATACCCCTGAATCTGGTGCGGCTATGTGGAATATTACTATTTCCTATGCATGCTTTGCTGATTTAGTTTAATTTCAATCTGTCTTTTCTAGTTATAATCCTGCAGGCCATTTCTGTTTTACATCTGTATTAGGTTCTTGAAATCTGAACTTGCTTAAATTCCCTAGAGTTAAAGTACTCTAAATATAGAGACCCTAGAGAGATAGTAACCCAAATATCTGGTGGTTACCACCACGACCTTCAAACATCCAGATATCCACAGGACACACACAGATTCTTAAGGCTGCCATTGCCATTCAAGTCTCTTCATACCAGAGGGAGAGAGAGAGGGTGAGAAAGCCACCTAGGCAGGAAATACTTGGTATCCTGCCCTCTTCCCCCTCTCCCATGATGGCTTTATCTTAAAGGATTTAAATTTCAAATGATAAAATATGCATTTAACATTTCCCAGCCTTCTGCCAGGCCACCTCTGACCCTACCTTCTGCTACAACTTAAGTAAACTTGAACAAGTAAATAGAAGAGATATTATTCTTTAACATTTCATTTAGGAGAAAAAGAAATATGTGTTAATGGGAGGAAGGAAAAAAAAGTTCTGGGGTAGCAGCTCCCTATTCACTTAGCATGAATAACTGTGAAGATACAATTACAACATTTTAGCAACAGCGTAAACCAAACCAGGCAGTAAGTGGGCAATTCTCCTTCTGTTCCAATATGCCCCAATTAACACAAACCGAGGAAGGAATAAATTTAAGCAGGAACAGCTTATCAACATACAATTAGCACTCAATAATTTATCCCTGTAATGCCAGAGCAAATAAAAACATTGTGTCATAAATCACTTACTCAAGTAAGCCAGCAACCTCTGCGCTGAAATGATCTTTCAGTTGATTTGCTTTCTATTCACCACCCTTCTGCCACAGCAGGGCCCCTTCCCGGATTTAAGACGGCATGGCAACTGCAGTGGCATTTGCTACTTTCTAGCATTCAAGGTGATATTAACCATAAACACAATTATAGTGAGGGTCAGCTCAGACCCCACAGAGCACACACCTGCCTCCAAATAGGCGGGTCCCCAAACAACTGCAAATAAAAATAAGTGCCTGGTTCATTACCATTTCTAAGGAAGTGAACTCCTCATTCATCCTTTCTAAAGTGTTTTTACACTTCTCAGGTCTACATTGAAGGTAGGAGAGTTTCATATATCTTCTATTCATAACTTCTATTTTAATTTAAGTCAATTGATAGGGCTCTGCAGAAATTAAAAACAGCCTATCAATATCCTCCCTGTAATAATGTCTAAAGGCAATCATTAAGTTCTCAAATGTCTTTTCATTAATTCCTTCACCACCTAGTCTTAGTTTTTTAAGCTCTTTGTGTTGTGCATCATCCTTTTCTTAACAACTCTCTCTAGACTCCCTTGCAACTGATTGAATCTGAGAACCCTGGTGGAAGACTGGAATGTGGAAGAAGGGAAAATCCTGGATTATACCATCACTCTGTCCTAGGAATGTCTCTTCCTAGGACATTATTCATGAGCTCCATGTGTGCAAATTTACCTGCTTACTAACATTTATTTGTAGCCTCAAATCAATGCCTGTGGCACTTTCATGGAGATGAATGGAGCAATGAAAAATTTGAGTAACAGGGCATCCCTGGTGGCACAAGGTGTTAAGCATAGTACTATGAAGCTATCCCCAGCCTCTGCAGCACGAGTTCGATCCCCGGTCTGCCAGGGAGCTACCCACATGATGCAGTAGACATTTTCTGTCTTGCCTGCTGCTCCCCTCAGCAGTGTATTTCAGTAGATTCGCCTGTTCTGCTCCCCACTCTGTCTCTGGTGAATCCTCTCACTCCCCCCCACAATACCTCTGGCCTGTACCTCAGTTCCTGTATCCATAAATAAATAAATCTTTAAAAAAAATTGAGTAACGTGATGCTCTATCACCTTCTTTAATACTGTTAACAAGTATTCATTTTGTGGTGAATTTAGTGCCATGTATTTCACACTTCTGTGCTCTCTGTTGGTGATTTAACTGTTTAAATTGGCCCCCAAGCATAATACTGTCTAGCATTCCTAAGCACAAGAAGCTGTGAGATGCCTTGTGGAGAAAATGCATATGTTAGATAAATGTCATTCAGGCATAAGCTATAGTACTGATGGCCAGGGGTGCAATGTTGATGACAACAATAAATTTTAAATAAGATGACTGACTCCAAGCGGAAACACACATAAAACAAGCTTATGTATTAGCTGGTTGAGTAAAATTGTGGCCAGAGGCTCACAGGAACCTAACTCTGTATTTCCCCTAAGAGCAATGGTTCAGTATTTGCTAACTTACTGTTCATAGAACACAGCCACCCCAGATAACAAGAACCTACTGCATTTCCCTGCAATGCCCATGAATCTCTGGGACTCCAGCTGCCTACCAGACAGTCTATTCTTCCTCCCAACTTCCCCTGGGAAGTCTGTGCCATGATTGTTATAAAGCTTCTGGATTATGATAACAATACTCCTTCCTGTGCCGCTGTCTTAAAGGTGAAGTAGCTTCCACTGTTGCTAAATTCTAGGGTCCTTCACCCTCTTTTGTGTGACTTCACAGACCTTCCATCCCCTGCATAATAAATTCTCTATTTAAGTGTTAGAATGTTTCCTGTTTCCTGCCTAAATCCCAACTGATCTACCATCTCTTACTAATCCTGTTTCCCAGCACCTTCATTTCTCGTTGTGGCAAGCGGAATAATGGCCCCTTCAAGATAGTCACATTCTAATCCCCACAACTTTTGACTTATCTTACTTGGCAAAAGGGACTTTGCAGATGTGAATAAGTTAAGGATTCTTGAGGTGAGGAGATTATCCTGAATTATATGGGTGGGACCCAAGTAATCACTATGGTCCTTATAAAGGAAAGAAGAAAGAAATGGTCAGGGAAGATGTGAGGGCAAAAGCAGAGATGTGAGAGATGTAGACATCAGCCCGGAAAATGTCCACATGTGGAACTGGCAAGGAACAAATTTTCCCCTAGAGCCGCTAGAAGAAACAAAACCCTGCTGACACTATGAATTTCACTCAGTGAAGCTTATTTAGGACTTCTGACCTCTAGAATTGTAAGCTAATACATTTGTACTGTTTTAAATCACAGTTGGTGTCATTTGTTACAGCAGCCATCAGAAACACACTTTTTGAGGCTTCTTGCTTTTCATTTGAAGAACACAAAGTTGACTTCAAAACCTATTTAAGTTCTGATATAAAGGCTCCATACCTGGAAACATCTGAGGGATTCATAGTAGACAGTAATCCCTGAGTACTAAAGACATTCAATTTCCTGAGACCGGGGGGTTGAAATCTACTTGAGCCTCTCAAGGGTTTTTTTCCCCTTTCAGTATAGAATTTCTAACATATGCAGGAGTAAAGAGAGCACTGTCATAAATCCCATGGCCCCATCATCCAGCAGCAACAACTCTCAACTCATGGCCAATTCTGTATCCCCACAATTATCCCTTCCCTAGATTATTTTGATGCCAAGTCCAGACATCATTTCTCCAGAAATACTTTACAGTGTATCAATAAACGATGAAGACCTTTAAAACATGTCCACAAAGTTATTATTGAACCAAAAGAAAATTAATAATAGCTTTTTATATATTCAATTACACAGTGTTGAAGTTTCTCCAATTGTCTCATGATTTCATTTGCATCAGGATCTAAATAAGACTATATTGTCGTTATTTCAATATTTCATATGTCTCTTTTAATCTATATGCTCCCTCCACTCCTTTGTTCTTATGATTTATATACACATACAATTTGCACACACATATAACTTATGTGTCAAAACCCACTGTCTGGGCTTTATTAACTTATTCTGTGGTGTTAACCATTTTACTCTTTTCTCTATAATTTGGTAGTTGGTTCCAGGGGGTTATTAGATTGGGCATTGCTGGGAAATGAAGCAGGTTCTTGTTATCCGGGGTGGCTGTGTCCTATGAACATTAAGTTAGCAGGGGAGGCAAGAATGGTTATATTTTGACATACTATGGTGTTATATATTTATAGATGGTGTTATATATTTTGACATACTTTTACTTTCTCTCTGTAACATTGGCATTCA